CCTTCAGGAACGACCACTCTTCTTGGACTCCCAACTCCCCTCCTGTCCCCTCCGGGACTTCAGTGCCTTCCTGACTAGTCTCCTTAGCTCAAAGAAATCCGCCCTCCTGAAGTCCAGGGCTGCTGTCTTGCTGCAGGCCTTTGCCACCCTGTGCTGGATGGTGAATTCCAATAGGTGATAATCGCTATCGCCCAGGTGATCGAGCACCTGCAGTCCCCTCACTAGGTCATCGGTTGTGGCCAGGACCAGGTCTAACAAGGCATTTCCCCTGGTGGGGCTGTGCACCTCCTGGGTTAGATGGAGGTCCTGTAACATGGCTGGGAACCTACGTGAGCGGTCAGATCTGGCTGACTGCTTTTCCCAGCAAATGTCTGGATAGTTTAGGTCACCCATGATGACCACATCCTTTGATTTAACTGCCTCCAGGAGCTGGCCTGAGAATTCCTGGTCTGGCTCTTCTCCCTTCCAATGCATATTGTAAATTACAATATAAGGACTGCTATTGAAGTGCTTTTGTGCTTTTGGTTCTTTGTAACTATAAGAATAGAACTAAAACATTTCAGATGTCTAGTTGTGCTGTCCCAGGGTTCCCTAATGTACCATAAGGAAATTGTGGAATTGGAGGGTTTTTAAAAATGAAGAGCATATACAGAAAAAAAGAAAGTTCCATGCAAACAACTTTACAAGTCTCTAATCAAGCATGTTTTTAACTTTAAGTGCCTACTTGGCCTGGACTTAATATAGCCTATAGAAGATATTGAGAAATTCAAATTTGTATCCCAATAAATAACAGTGCTTGTATAAGTTATCCCAAGAAGCATTTTGATATTCATATCCATATTTATTTAGATTACAAATCTGCCTGAAAAATAGCATGATGTAAATATCTGATTTCCATAAGCACCTTGGAAATTTAATAAATTAAAACATTCTCCATACAAGGCATATACAGTGTACAGAACAATTTGGGTTATAGTAGAATGATTAAGAACTTTTGCATACATTTATTAAGAAGTCATGAACTAGTGGAGAGTTTTTCCGCATTTTTGTATGATTTATCACAATGATTTGAGTTAGGAGTGAGTTAAATTGTAATGGAGATTACTAGCTCATTAATATTTGTCATCTCAGGGCATAATATTATTATTAGTTACTAATTTCTATTCCAACTATTCTTTCTCTGTAGGTCAATAATGCTTTGAAACAAGAAATACTAGCTTAGTTAGATCCAGCACTAAGAATAATATTTGTTGCTTCTATATTTTGAATGTATTATTCGTTTTGTCAAGTGCTTCTTGTATTCAGTGCCAACAAATTACTCAGCAAGAGAAGAAAGATTCAGCTGTGATATTCTCTGCAATCACTCCTATTCGTACAAAGATTATGCTATACCATAAAAGAAAAAATAAGACTAAAAGTGCACATCGGTACTGTAAGGACAGAAAACCTACTATCAGGATCACTGGATATTATTTTTAAAAGCACTATTAAAAGGCAATAGGTTCAGAGTCAATGTTATGAGAAAGCAAACCAAAGCATTTTGCAACCATCGATGTTGACTTCTAAGTTAATCAAATTACCAGTACTCTGTCTCTGCATAAAGACACCACCATCAACCTTCCCTTATTTGCACGTGGAAAAAATAATCACATAGGACAATTTTTGGGTTTTATTTTTTAAATACAAAACAAAACAAAACTGTCCTGTGATGGTTGTTTTTTACCATACCATAGATGGCAAATCTGTTTAATATATATGTTTTTTATATACATATATGATTTGTAACACACAAAAATTCTCTGTGTTGTTTTATCACATTTTTTTTCTTTTATCATGCTAGTGTTCTAATGGAAAGACTTGGGTCTAGATGATTTTTACATTGTTATACACTATATATGTTTTACAATACTTGAATAATTGTCTAGCACATAGGTTCATACACCACGATCTTGTGGGAAGCATGCAACACATCACAAAACTCCCAAATGTGAAGTGCATTTAAAACTAGGTTTAATTTAAGTGCATCCTTAAATCCAAACATTGCAAAGAACTGAAATTTAGATGTAGCTCTTTGTGCACCTTGTACTTTAGGTGATAACAGGACTATTCCAATACTTTGAGAGCTTAATGCATTCTTGAATCAGACTTAATAAAAATGGACACAAAGTCTTGGGGCAGGAATTACATGGTTCTAATCTGTAACACAACAGAAGTTCAGTGCACAATAACCACTTTCAAGATGGCTGAAATTGGTTTAAGATAAACCTAGATGGAGGTAGCATCCGATTTAACTGATTTAAGTTAAATTGGTTTATTGAAGTTCTGTTCCACGTCCCTTCCAGATTCAAAATTAACTCAGTCCCCCAGCATCCCAGGATACTTTGCACCTCTTCCACAAGGTAGGTGGGCTAGCATTGGCCCAAGCTGTCTGCTCCAGCTGAGCAGGGAGGCATGCTTTAGCACAATACAGCTTCTGGCCTGGACCACTGCAGGCATGCCTCTGCATTTTCAGGATCAAAAGTGAATGTATCTTCACTTGCTTAAACTAACCTGCAGAGATTGAACTGATTCAGCCTCAATTTTTTTGACTCTCTGTACATAGCCAAAATACTTTCATGTGCCATTATCTAAGCAGGATTTTGTATTTTTTTCTTCTGTGTACAGTCATAAATAAGGCTGGATAGATTTGTTACCATCATCATCTGCTAGAAAGAAGAGATTAACTAATATGCTATTATGGTATGAGGCACGTACTTAATTACCTTTCAGATATCAGTTAGAATCTCATCCCTAATAGGGGACAAGTCATGTGCTATGGGTGCCTACTGTTTCCTTACATTTGGTTTTACTTAAGGATTAATAATCCAAAAAGTGACTGGATAGAATGCATTTTTTACATTATCTTTGAGTCTGTTTGTATTTGGCTAGTATCTTATCAGGTTGGTATGAAAAGACCAGGTGTGATTTTGGTTCACTGAGTTAAATAATTTTCTGATTATGTTTCCTCATGCAGCGACTATCTTGTTATACTGGAATACCTTCCAGCAATGCCATTCTGATTGGTAAGCCACCAAAGAACCAGTTGCTCTGCTATATGGCAGCTAAGTGAGGAACTAATAACTTTCTGCTGTTTTTTGTCCCTCAACAGGCTATCTGCAGATGTGCCTTTAGTAGAGAGACAACAATCACTGCTTTCAATTATTCTAAAACCTGAAACAGGGGTTCACAGTTCTCCAACATTCCCCATCCCATGATCGTTATCTGGAGTCCTGTGCCTTTCTAAATTATTTCTTCTACTCTTCTTTTCTTGTTCAGACACCTATTATTCTGAACCTCCAGTGGGGCTATGTGATTTTCTGCCATTTTCTGATGTTTTATGAAGCAACATAAATATAGAAAGCTTTTAGATTTCCCTGGTATTCTGGAGATAATGTAACAGATTCACCTTCTTTGCCACCTTTTCCATGTACTATTTTTAAAAGATAGTTTTTATTTACCATCTATGGTATAGCATATTATCTTCAAGAAGATGCTAAGTTGCTAAATGCTTAAAAGACTAACATAATAATTTAACATAATCAAAATAGTCTTTGGCAGAAGATAATAGATTATATACTATTTGTATGTAATACTATGCTAGATGGATTATAATTTCCATAAAAGTCCTTTAATGTGGAATAAAAAAGCACTAGTAGCTAAAATGCTAGAAAGCACAATCAATTTTTTAAATAAGAAAAAAAATATTGGCTTAGTGAACTTTTCAAGGACAAAACCTTTTCAAGTGACCTCTATAAAAAAAAAAAGTCATTAGGAGAAGTGTCAGACTACAGGAAAAACTTTCTCTCTCTCTGACCTTGAGTAAAATATTTCATTTGAGTCAGAAATTTATCCTACAATAATCAGTACCATTGAAGATTAAACTGAAATATTGCATAACTATGTAGATGATTCTTCTTTACAACAAATAGATCTCCCTCCATTTAATATGAATCAAGTGGAGTATGATGTTAGGTAGAGTACACACCTGCCATCAGACAAACTCTACAGTACATGTTATAATTTATCCAATAGAACTTTGAATATAATCAGTGGATATGCTATAATTATAGCCAGAGCTGTTTTGTTAATGTTGCCCATGAGCTTCCTTCCTGGACCCATGTCTTCAATCAATAATAACTTCTATCTTTGAGGCTGGGAATTTGTAGGTCTCATCTTTATCTAAAAGTGAAGAGGTTCATTCTAGCTCAAGAAAGTTTGAGTACGAATAGTTCAACTGCTTTTCAGTAAAAACTGCATGAAAAATAATTTCATATTGTAAATATGAATTCGAACATGTATTTCCACACTTGTACAATGAAAATTACTTGGAGTAGAAACCTGAAATTTGCCAAATAGTCAACAATAGGAATGACTTTGAATTCCAGTGAAAGACTAGGCCTTTTTGGAGAACTTAATAATTGTCTTCTGCATACAGACACAGCTAAACCTGTCTCTAGATCTACATTTAGTAAATTTAGCTGCATAAGAAAGTATTAAAGGGGTTCCTAATTTGAGACAAATGGCCAGCCAAAATTCTTCTAGGTTTTATCCTTTTAGGATTTTTAAGGTAGAAGGAGTCTTTCTATGCAGTAGGGATGTCCTTAAACATCACAAACAGCACAAGTTAACTTTAAGGATTGTTAGGTAAAATTAGAAAGTGCTGTGAGCAGTTCTACATTTGGTGTTAAAACCATCTGTAAAGTGCATAGGTCTGATCTGCTGCTAGAGGACTTGCAAGCAGGGGCATAGTGAGGAGCTGACAAGTCTGCTTCTTGTCTGTCCTGCTCCCTGATTCTCTAGCAGCAATACCTCTCCCTGCCCCCAGCCCCAGCATGTATACGCATACGCACAGCCCCCTCCACTCCCAACCCCAGCACACACACATACACACTGCATTCCCAGATTGCCTTTGGCTGCCACCATCACTCCTGCAGCAACAATGGTTGCTCCCTGTTTACTTCTGGGCTCTAATGGTCCCATGAAAGCATGCCCCCCACTGCCACCGCTGCCTCCATTACCAGGTGTGCTACTTGGTGGCAATGACAACTAAAGGCAAGTCTTGGGATGGGATGAATGAGTGTGTGGGGGTTGACTGTAGGGTGTGTGGTGAAGCAGTGGGAGCATGTAATCTGGAGCTGTGCAGGTGGGATGCATGCTGGAGGGATGTGTGTGTGCATGTGCACATGAGCATGCCTAGTATGTGTGCGTGTGCTCTCTTGCAACCCAGATGCTCCCTGTTCTCTGTTCCATTTTACCTCTGCTGGAATTCAACCCCCCTTCCCCCCGCCCTGCCTTTCTTCCTCTCCCATCTTTCCTCACTCACCAGCCGGTGCTCTGATGTGCACCGTCACTGGGAGGACATGTGTCCAGGAGGACAGCTAATCTCCCTGGGACTGGTGCCTCCTGGGATGCTAGAAGACCACAAATTGGTTGTTTTATCTCTGTGGAATGTTTAGAAGAACTAAAATGAGCTGCCTACCACAGGTCACATAATTTTGAGACACCTAGAGGCACTTAGCACTTGTTAATGAGCTTAAACTGTGAGTGTTCAGGTTTAAAGCACCCTTAACAATAGCTAACTGTAACATGTATTCCTACCCTAAGATTCACAAATGAAAGTTCAGCTCAGAAGTATGCCAGGAGCTGCAACGAGAATATGAATAAAAGAAGGATTTCTTACAATAAACCTCCTAAGAAACATGAAGAAGTGTCCTGTGATATTTAGTTCATTGATTCCAACATATTACCTATATTTTTCAGTTTATTATTGCAAAATCCTGACCCATGTAATAATTTAACTTCTATTTTCTTTTTTAATTCTAAAAAGAGTGAATTATTTTGCCATTTGGATTTCTAGGATAGCCATAACTCTTTATGTGTGAGGGTGCAAATAATCTTCATGTGCTTCACTTAGGAAAACATATATTTTGTGGTATAAAAGCATAGAAAACATGGAGAACAAAGGAATATTACATTAATCATATGATGAAGATATGTGTGGCTAATCAACTTTTTACCACCTATAACACATGTGCGGCTAAGTTATTTTTTTATCTCAGAAAATCTATTTAAATAAGTTAATTAGGAACAATGAACTGAGAACTGCATTAAAAACATTAATGGATAAGTTAATTTCTTTAACATAAAGCATTCATTTTTGACCAGCTAAAATGCATTCATTTGTACCTATGTGTAAGTGTATATGCATATTCACAAATACTTATCAATGAATGGAGGATGGGCTGGCAATATGGCAGAAGCGGGCAATTATTTCCGGAGGAGGGCCGCTTACCAAGTTTTGGCAAGTTGTTGAGGGTTGCATGGGTAGCCCTGCCCCTTAACAGGTGCCCCGCCCCCTGGTTGCCATCTTGGTACCAGATGTCCCACCCCCTAACTCCTGACCTTTGCCACCAGAAGTCCCTCTCCTTGTCCCCAGAAGTACTTCTTTCAGCAAGGGGTTTTGCCATCTCTGAACCAGAAAAATAGTAAATTGTATTCTAAAAATTGAACATCTAAAACATTCATTAATTTGATTTCAAAAAATATTTTTGCCCTGGTTTCATGTGTTTGTGTAGTATACATAGAGGTGATTGCACAATAGCTTTAAATGAAGTCTAACACTTGTATATTGTGGTGGGGTAGGTATATGTTTTTGGGGGGGCTGTGGGTGTGTGGGTATGTGGGGTGAGGGAGCATGTGGGCAGGGCCATCCTTAGGGGGCATGAATTGGGGCAATTGCCCTGGGCCCTGCATTTTGCAGGGTCCCGTGGAGCCAGGTGGAGCAGCTGCAGCGACTTAGCACCACCACTGCCATCAGCTTCACATTCAGTCGCTCACCACCCCCACCCCCCCTCCCAGCCACCAAAGCTGCTTCTGGCTTCCTTGCATCCAGGGCATGCAGGGGCAGGGCCCCGCACAGGCTGATTTGCCTCAGGCCCAGCACACTACTTGGGGCATCTCTGTATGTGGGTGTGTGTGTGCGTTGTGGGTAGGTATGGGGTTGGTGGGGGGTTGTGTGTGGGAAGGGTGGCTGAGGTGTGTGGGGGGGTGTATGGCGGTATGAGGGGGGTGTGGATGCATGTGTATGGTGCGGGGCGGGGTGTGGATGCACCCTATGAACGCAGACACACACTGGCCAGGAGCCCTGCAGGCAGGGCACACAGCTACGCAGGGAGATACTCTGGGTCCAAGATCTTGGGTCAGTGACAGAGCTGGGCTGTGGCAGACCTGTGATCTGCTTCTTGCCCACCCTTGTCTGTGGAACTTATCATAGGGGCTTGCAGGCAGTGGATCGCAGCTCTGCCCCGGCCCTGCACCATCACTGCCCCAAGATCCCAGGGTGTCTGTGGCCCTCCTCACCCATGCAGCCCCACCCCAGCCTCCCACCATGCACCCTGCACACATGGGCCTTGCCCCCCATGATAGGTGTGGGGCAGAATGGAGTCTGCTGTGGACCCAATCCAGCCCATGGGCCAGACTTTGCTCACCTTTGTGTTAAGAGCTCCAGGAGTTGCCAAAAATGACTGTGTAACATGGCCTAAAGCATCCTGCTAATGTATTTTTTCCCATGGAATTAGAAAGAATTACAGGACATTGCTTCATGTTCATAAACACTCTTATTTGTACATAGTAATAAGTAAAATGTCTTCAGTGACTGGAACTAATATTTGCCAAGTCAAACATATGTGCTTCAGGAAGTAGTTTTGATAGTGGTGATTATTATTTTTTTTCCTGATTTACCCATATCTAGAGTTCCAAAATGGTTACAGGAGTCCATCTGGTAGGAGTATCTTTCATACTGTGACTGCTAATACCAATTTAAAGTTTGAAAAATCATCTGTTATAAAAATAATCCTTTTAATGCTAATGTCTTGAGCTAATTCCTCCATAGGTGGTCCTATCTAAAATTTGCCTTCTCTCTCTCTCTCTCTCTCACTTTTTATCCTGACACAGGATAATGGCTGCATTTCAGGCAGAAGTACCTATATTTCAATGATAGGCAAGTGATTTTTATAAAAATCTTAGACCCATTGTAGTTAATAGCAAAACACCCTTTAACTTATGAATAAACATACCATTTCACTGATGGTTTATAAAAATATTTAAGGGTCCTTGTGAATGATAGGTGTTATGTAAATGTGAATTGTTTCTTGCTTGAAATATCTTTCAAATCTGCTTAATGTTTAAAAGCAGTAATATCGTATAAAGAAGCTATACATTACAGCATGTATATTCCCTAAGTTACTGGTGTATAGTTCTCTCCCAAGAATATAAATTACAATAACCATATGCATGGTAGTTTCTGAATTGTGTATTGTAGCTTTGGTTATAACATAGCTCTAAGCTAGATAATATCGTTCTAGACATATGGCTTGTGTTATGGATTTCTCCTTCAGGATATATTATTCTTCCATAATTTATCCTGCAGGAGGATTCCCAGGAAGATTATTTCCTAAACCTTCCTGAATCTCTGGTATCTATTACTGTTTATTTTTTGGACCCTTCTTTTTAATGGAAATGACATCACACAGCAGGCAAAAAAAAGAGAACGAAACACTTTTTTACCTCTTTAAATAGTGCTGATTTTGTGTTGTTGTTGTTTGGAAACAGAACCATATGTCCTCATAAACTGAGTTATTTGATATTCCAGTTTCTACATTCAGCTCTTATATACAGCAAATAAAACATCTCCATATATGTGGGGAGAGTCAGAATGCTGGAAATACCAATCAAAAGAGTACAAAATTCAGTAGACTTAAAAAAGAGAAAAAACAACATCTCTTTCAAGCATTCGTAGCTCAGGATGGATTGTGTTCACTACACATGAATCTCACAAAGGCAGTAAATGAGAAAACATTATCAATATCCTAGCATGAAACACAGGAGAAATATCAGCATGTTGGGTAGGAAAGATGGACATTAATATAACTTCTAAATATAACCAAACATTTAAAGAAAACCCAGTAAAAATGTTGAAACATAAGGCTTGCAATCCACGATTAACTGGGTGTCTAAAGCATAGATAGGGTGATTTAAAACATGTAGTATTATTAGTAAATGCAAGGGCCTAATACTAGAATTATGTAAAGCAGCCTATCCAAAATGTTTCTTCTCAAATCTTAATCTATCACTATAAAATAAGACACATTTCCTTCTGCAGACAGACCATTTGGCAGCTTCAGCAAACTGTATTTTATAAATTGTTCCTCTGTCTTCCATAAATGAATAGAGTGCATTCTATAACAATAGGTCAAAAATAATTATGTTCCATTAACAGTCCTTACAATTGATTCCTTTGCTTATACCTGAGACTGTCTAATACTATTCAGGGTGCTTCTTTTTTGAAGTAGATAAAAAGAGGGAAATGGTCCTACAGAGTTTTACCGCTGTAATATAATAGGCTTTCCAAGGAATCCCTGCCCCTTCCCAATGAAAAAGATGGTAGGGAAGAAATAAAATAAAAAAATAAAACTGTGCATGCCAAGCTGGAGCCAGAGACAGCTGAGACTTTTTAATAAAATGTTTTATCTTGTTTTTATATTGGAATATGCTGATGTGCTGAAGAGGGTGAGAAACTTTTTTACCAATCTAACCATTCAATAAAAAATCATTAGACTGAAAGAAAGCACTTGTTAGGAAGAGATAATAGTTTAAAATGACTATAGCATGTAGCTCAGGTGATCAAGGCCAGTCTTTAAAAACGTCTCTGCCTAACCTGAAATATATCTATGAATTTTACTTCCCATATTTTTAAGGGAGTTGCTTTTGTTGCTTGTTTGACTGAAAATACATTTTTGAAACCTTAATTTTGTGATTTTTTCCCAACTATGATTTCACAAAAAGAAAATACAACTTCCCCACAGTATTTTTCCCCCTGAAATTCAACAAAGATGCCTAACTGCAGATGAGCCCTGATCCTATTCTGCACACTGGGGATAGTCTACACTCCTGAATAAGGTGGTTTCCAGTAAGGACAGAGAGAGGACACTCCACCCACCTTGGTTTTCAGACATGCTTCAGACTTAAAAGTACACTCTGACCTCATCCCCAGCACCAGCTCTTAAACCCTTGGGCTAAGGACAGAAATTACACATCAGCCAGTTTAAGTGATCAGAAACTGGTTTAAACCTATAGCAGAACAGAAGTTCAGTGCACATAAACCAGTTAGAAAATGGATGAAATGAGTTTAAGATAAACCTAGTTGAATGTAGTATCAGACTTAACTGATTTGGGTCAAACTGGTTAATGGAACTTCTGTCCCAGACCCTTTCCTGGTTCAAGTTATATCACAGTCCTCCAGCATCCCAACATGCTTTCCACCCCTTGGCTGGGCTTTGCTGTCTGCCTGAGCAGAGTAGGGCTGGCCTCACCCCACTGCTTTCTCGCTGGAGCAGTGAGGGCTGGCTGACAAGAGGGTGGGGGTAGGAAACCTGACTGGGGGTGTGAGCATAGGTGGGGGGAAAGTGGTGAGCAGGGAGAGAAAGCCGGGGATGACCCTGGTTGGGGTCCCATACTGGTGGGAGAGGGGAAGCATGGGGGTTTAATCCCCCTCGTTCCTCCCCTTCACCTAAGGCACTGCCCAGGACACTGACTAGCTGTGTCTCCACTGCTCAGGGACAAACCTGGAAAGGGCTGCTTCCCTCTTCCCTCTCCAGGCACAGCCCAGCTGGGATTCCTACAGGCCAGGATGGGGTTTTTAACCCCTCCCCAATCATATTCAGCAGCCTGCCAGAACCTGGCCATGCACACCCCCCCCCAGCTTAGCTTCCCTCCAGCCTTCCATCACTGCTGAAGGAAGGGGAGGAATCACTCTAGCACCTTCCAGCTTCTAGCCCGAGCCACTCCAGACATGTGCCTGTATTTCCAGAATCAAAAGTGAATGTCTATTCACTTGCTTCTCAGTTTTATTTATGCAGGTTAGACTAACCTGCAACGATTGAACTCATTTAGGCTCTGGGTTTTTGAATGTCTGTACTTAGCCTCAGTCTGCTGATGTGTCTGCAAATGGCTGCAGGGATGGCCCTTCATCAACCTTTCTAGTGTACTTCAAGGTTTGGAATCATGAGTGACTAGTGCCTCCTGAGTTGGGGGGGGGTGACACCCGCAGAAGTCACTGATAGCAGTGGCCCTGTCGGGGGGAGGGCACCAGCCCTACCAACAGCATCAGTGTCAGCCGTCAGGGGTGCACCAGCCCCATCGGGGGGCACGTGCACCCCCTATCAGTCACCTATGTTTGGAATGCATCAGCTCCGTCCTTGCCACTATTGCAGTGGTATAGACAAGCTCCTACACCTCAAAGCCACTTACTGAGAAAAAAATATGCTTCTTGCCCTAGGGGAGTAATCTTTTTCCACTGTAGAGGTTCTGATCTTTTCTCCAATTTCTTAGCAGTCAGCTTTATGTGCCTCCAGAACACATGAGCAGTGAACAGGGAGTTTTTTATATGCATCCAGGTGGAGGATCCAGGAAGTAGGACATCTGATTTTTAGGTCCTGCTTAGCTTACCCAACCACCCATCTGTGTGCTAGACATTGCTGAAATCATCCCCTATCTATCCTGTTAAAGCTGAGCCACTAGCCAAAAAGGAATTTAAGGGCCAGAGAAAGAGGGAGAACGAGCCAGTAGCCTAGTGAGAGGCCCCTCTTCCAGTGCTGTTTATGCATTTTATATGATGAGTATAAATTATAAACCACCAGCTGAAGTTCTGTAGTCAGAGCATTCTCCCAGGAAGTGAAAGATGTGCATTAAAAATCCACCTAGGATCAGTAAGGCCAAGTGTCACTGGGCTAACCACTAATTTATTGGGCAAGAGCAGGGTGGGTCATCTAACTCCTCAGTTTTTGTGGCTGGGTCATTTAAATAACATGTATCCCCTCCTCCCCGCAAAGAAGTGAAGAGTTTCTTAAGGACCTTAGAAGAGTGAAATAATAACAATACTCACAGCAGCAGAACATTAACTGCCATTGTCCTTCTGTCCACCTATGGCAGCTTAGGGTGTTATGCCTTATGATTGTGTCAGGATTGACTGTGTAGTTTTACTAATAGGCTAGACAATAGATTGTATGTGAATTATATATAGATGAGAATGATCCTGCCTCTGGCATAGATTTGGACTAGATGCCCTCTGAAGATTTAAAGCTAAATTTTATATTGCTGCTAAAACATCTCTGTGTCATCTTTACTTCATCAAACCTAATGCAACCAGGCACAAGAAAGCAGTTTACTCTGTGGAGGTATACTTCTCCTATATTTTCAGTGAGGACCTGTTGTGTTCCTGAAGATGCATTCTGCTTTGCCCTGAAGCATTACAGATCTCTCCCATTCTTTTAATGAGTAAGCATTTAAGTGAACTCCCCCTGGAAAGAATTTCAAACAGTATAGGACCATCATCTATTCCAGCTACACTAGGAGGGAGTTTTAAGTAGCTGAAGCACTATGTGAGGAAGCTTGCTCTTTGCTGCTATTGCTTTATAGATTTTCCATTGACTATATAACATTAAATGCATAAACAACATTGGAAGTAAGGGTTTCTTTTCTCCATACCTGAAAAAATTCAAAGGGACCAGGCAGAAGCTCCAGCCCAAAGGAGCAGCTGCAGAAGTAGTTAGAGTAGGAAATTTTCTATGGTTTTGACATCTACCCGAAGAATCTTGTCTGCCTATGTCCTTAGACCAACATGGCTACAACCAGCAACCCTATGGTTTTGACTAGAATTTCTCTGCCCTGTGCTGATTGTTTCTTTATTCCAATCCTCACATTTGTTATCTTCATTTTTTCCCATTTAGCTTTTACCTTCCCCAAGTAAATCCACCCAAAACACAGCACAGAAATAAAATTATGAAATTACTTTGATGTTTGCTGCTGTCACTCTGGTTTAATCAAGAACATTATTTATTGTAGATATCATGGACAATATATTTTTGACTATCTTGGAAAATTGTAAATATGAAATCAATTCATTATTATCTGGCACAAACAAACGACCCTGGCTCCACAGAGCTCATTGAAGTATTGATCTCTAAGTATGCTAGGAGCATCAGAATACAGTATAACCTTATAAATTCAGATATAAAAAATGCGGTATTCTCAAAAATCCAGCACTTTTTAGAAATACATTAGATTGGGGAGTAGTGGTGGCTAGTCCCAAAGCAGCTGAGGGGGAAGCTTGCACATGGTAACTGCTGCTGCCATCCACCATCCTGTGTCACTGCTGCTCCAGGACCAGCCACTACTACTTCTCCAACCCCAGCTTCATGATTGGCCGCTGCTTCAGTTTAAAAAATCTAGAATTTTCACATTTCTGGCACATGCTCAGTCCTGAGCATGCCAGATTTATAAGGTTATATTGTACTTTCATGGAAACAAGGTTTATTTCCAGTAACATAGGATTATAATATAATTACATGATAAACCAAGAGAAAAATAAAAATCATGCTGTGAAGTTGAAATTACTTTGAGTAGAATCTAGAGTATTTGAAAATTCACTGTTAATGTAAGCACGCTTTTTAAAATTGCTTTTTTTAAAATTTAAAAGACTGCCCCTTTGTGAAAGTTCTCTTTCAAATGGATTCCAATGAGAAAAAAAATTAGCTGATTCTATGTGTGATTTTTTTACTTTTATCTAAGTTTTTTTTACTTGGTCCTTTAAAATGATAATGTTAACATTTTAGACTCTCCAAGTTGACCTGACTATAGCACTGATTCTGCTATAAATTATGGCATATTTAATATCACTCTTTGGTCATATACCCAAGGATCTCTTGTATACAGAACTCCTTGCAGGAGAAAGACCATATGGGCATTCTCATCTCTGGTTCAATGTGCTATCACTTTGTGTACACTACACAAACACATGTAAATCAGGACAAAAATATTTTTCGAAATCAAATTAATTGATGTTGTAGATGTTCCAGTTTTAGAATATAATTTGGTATTTTTCTGGTTCTGAGATGGCAAAACCCCTTGCTTAAAGGAGTATTTCTAGGGGTAAGGGGAGGGACTTCTGCTGGCAAAGGTTGGGGGTTAGGAGGCAGGACTTCAAATCACAGGATGGTGACCAAGAGGTGGGGCACCTGTCAATGGGTGGGGCTACCAATGCAGCCCTCAATAGCTTGCCAAAACCTGGTAAGTGGCCCTCCTCCTGAAATAATTGTCTGCCTCTGAGTTAATGGAATCCCATGTTGATTCACAAGTTTGGTAGGCAGGAGCTGGAATTGGGAAGGCAGAGAGCAGGGAAACAGCATTTATATGTAACCTCCCAGATAATGTGAATTGGTAGACTGTAAAAAGACTGTTAAGAAAGGAAATTGGAGGAGTTACATTTGTGAAATTTTTCAGAAATGCAGAAGGAAAGCCCAATGACTGTGGTATAGTCAAGTTTAGGAATAAAGACTATGAACAGAAAGTGCTAGAGACTCTGAACCAATGTAACCCAGGTGGTACTCCAAAAGGTACCCCCTCTCCAACTGAAGGGATCAAAGCAGGTGCACAAGCACTGTGGGAGGTGTAGGGACTCTCCTCCCCCTATGGAGCAGAGCCAGACCACCAATGGGGACTTAACCATATGTCTTTTAATGAGGGAACAATACTGGGAACATAACAGGCATAAATCAGAGGGCATAGTGGACACTACAATGCCCCAAGGGGGCAGGATTCAACAAAGTTTAGACACTTACAATCATTGACAAAAGACAGGGTTAAGAAAATATAAAACACAAACAGCAAAGCAAACAATACTGGTTGGTGAAATATAAAAGGCACAAAATACAAAATGTCAAGGAAACATAGGGCCTAGGTACCTGGAGGGGGAGAAAGCACAATGGCCCCTTTTCACTGCAAGAAGATTTGCTTCTTCTTAGGTGGCTCATCCCAAATCACAGGAGCTGGGACTTAAACTCAGGTCTCCCACATGGTGGGGAGGAATACTCTAACACAGCCACTACTGGTGGCACTGCTCCAGCCTGCTAGGGGTCTTGACCTTCCCGGATCCCCAGCCTCACGTTGAGCTGCCTGGCCTCTGATTGGAGGAGCTGGAAGCAGAGCTGGGAACCTCTCAGTCGCTGCTCAGATCCTTGCTGGAGCTGGGGAGTCTCTCCTGCTGGCTACAGCCTCTCATAGGGGACCCTGGAGCCCAGTGGGGAGCCTCTCTTGATGGCCAAATGCTGCGCTGCTGAGGGCCCCACTGCTGCCTGCAGGTCCTGCTCCTTCAGGCTCTTCTGGGGCAACTGCTCCCATCCCGCTAGCTGGCAGCTCTTGCCAGCTCTTTGAAGCTCCTTCCTTGTGGTCCCTCGCTGGTCTCTCCTGAGTCAGCCATGCTGCCCCTTTTATCCCCCTCCAGGTGACCCAAGGGACCAATCAGGGGACAGAGAGGGTGAGTCTCTGGGGCCTGATTGGTGAGGAAAGGGAATCCCAAGTCCTCCAATCATCTATTGCCCTTTCAAACCCCCTGGGCTAAGTCACTAGCAGCTAGCCTATCACATCAATATGATCTTGGGGGGAGACCTTTGAGCTTTAAGGCTGGCCCAAGGGGACAGTGGGTTAGAAGGGGATCTTGGTTAATCCAGGAACAAGTTCTGAGGACCAGGCAACTTGGGGTGCTGCCATAGATCAGATTACCATGAATTGTTTCAGAGTAGAACAGTCTATCCCAAGGTAAAAGAAACCCAAAAGTAGGCTGGAGCTGGATTATAATATGGGTTGATAATCTGAGACCAAAGGTCAGCAAGGAAGAGCTCAAGGTGTTATTCAGCATGGTGGAAGTGGTGAAGGTGGTAGATATCCAAGTGGATAAAGTTGGCAAGACCCAAGGTTGAGGCATGGTTATGTTTGAGTAACTAATAGAGGTCATCCAGGCAGCTTCAGTGTATAATGGACAATATCTATTTGGAAGATGGATACAGGTCAGGATTTAGCAAAACCCACAGTTGTTCTTTTTTATTATTATTTTAAAATATATTTGCTCCCCTTCCCCTAACCATTTCTGATTTTTTCACTCCTTCTCTATTCCCTATAAATACGTATAAGTGAAATAAGACATAGGATAAGCTTCAGCATTTTATTTTGGTAGCAGGTTGTTTTTGTTTTATTTTTTTTCCTTCTTTTCAAATAAGTGCCCTGTTATGGATATCCACTGTTTTATATTGTATAAGTATTGTGTTTATATTGATTTTTACTATTCTATATTACTGTTTTACTAATACTATATGATTTAGGCCTACATATGTAAGTTAGCATAAGTCATGCCAAGTTTCCATTTTGTTTGACAAGTCTCTATCTTGTGTCCCCTGCCTGGGCATACCCTATTGTAACCCAGTTGTAACTGTGTGACTCATACCTAGCCCTTCTACATAAATTTGTTCTTGAATGAATGGGGATGAATGAGGGTGTTTGAGAGACAATGGCAGTAGGTCTAAAAATAGCTCCCTCTGAATGACCAAACTATCAACTTGACGACCCAACCATCACCCTGGATTGACCCTCCATGGCTCAAGATTTAGAAGACAAAGACTGCTGCAGAAATCAGTCAACCCACCATTACAGACACCTGAAACTGCATGTACTTACCTAGGAGTGCACATGCTCAGTACACCAGGGGCTGACTCTTGCCTGCCACTAGGGTCATAAGAGGTCTGCCCCTATAAGAGGGGACCCAGTGGGACACCCTCTCCATTTGGATCAGCACCATGCCACACCACCTATCCACCCAGAGGCCCTGCTGGTGACCTCCCTCTGGACAGCTCCTTGCTGGAGAAGACTCCGACTGGCCATCAAGGATCACCTCACAGCCCAGGATAGGTAGCTATCATCCACCTTCCTTCCCTAAGCAAAGGACTTGGACTCTGTTTCTGCTCCCTACCTGGTCTCCAACCCTTCCACTGAGTCTCTTTATCCTGCTACC